CTCTGGGGTCCTTGGGTCCTTCCTGGGTCTGTTGTCGAGCAGGCCGGGAGCTCCCGCGCAGGCCGGGAGCTCCCGCGCACGCCGCCGGGTGATCGCAGACAGGCAGGTAGGCAGGCAGCTGAAAAAAACCAAAATCTGTTTTCTGAAGGCAAAACTTCCCATTTTATATTTGAGTTTAGAAGACTTTCTCTGTATTGTACCACAAACTGCCCTCCACATCCTCCTTCTCCCATACATTTTAACTGAATCTGGTTAAGCAAAAGCCCCATGTTCTGGCATGGTTAGCCCTTCGGCTGCACCAGCACATCTGGTCTATACACAGTCACTTTAACAAGCTCACCTTGCCTCTCCTTCCCTTAGTATAACCGGTACCAGCAGTATGGTGCTGAAGAGTGTGTGCTGCAGATGGGAGGTGTGCTGTGCCCTCGCCCTGGCTGTGGAGCAGGGCTGCTGCCTGAGCAGGGCCAGAAGAAAGTCACCTGTGAAGTGGTCAGCAGCCTAGGCTGTGGGGTGAGTACCATCTGCACTCTTGGCCACGGTACTGTATTCAGTAGCTTTTGCAAATGGGCTAGGATTTGTTTTCTGTTTTCGTTTTCACTTTGAATTCAGAAATCTTTGATTGAATATATAAGAAAATAGATTTGGGGGGGTAACGGATCAAACTCAGGACCTTGTGCTTGCGAGGCAGGCAACAGCACCACTGAGCTAAATCCCCGCCCCCTAGATTTTTAAATTCTTATGTAGGACCTCACACATGAAAATTAATGGATATTGTAATTAATTATTTGTTTTTGGAGGAGTTGGATTAAGATTGTCTGCTTTTATTGTCTATCTAGGTATTTATTCTGACATTGTGAGCAACTACACCAAACTTTTACATTTTTCTTGCAGTACTCAGGTAGTGCAAAGAAATATTCTTTCAACGGAGTTACCTTTTAGTAGATAGCAGGGAAGAAAAGTAAATCCTGCATCAGGGAAGGTTTAGTGACACTGTTTGCCAAAGTGTTTCAAAAATAAGACGTATATTAATCTGGAGAACTCGAAATGTTGTTTCATAAAAATAATTTCAAATAGAGTTGAGCAAAGCTATTAGGGAAGCAGAATAAGAAACATGGAAAGTATCTGTTCCAAGAGGTCAAAGCATGTGACTTGAACACTATGGGAATGGATTTCTGTCCACAAACTGGTGGTCAAGGAGACAGAAAGCTCAACTCCAACACACAAAGGGTTACTAAATTATAAGTTGAAAAGACAAATAGATAATGATTCTGATAATAAATTTCTTGCAGGCTGGAAAGGAAGAAAGCATATATGCTTATAATATGGTATTGAATTTTGATGAGAATCATTTCTTTTAAAATTACAGCTACAGCTGCCTCCTTAACATAGTAGGCAGTGTGCTGGTCTCATAAAATTATAATCTCATAAGGTCCTTTTGGAAGAAGGGAAAGGATAACAGGGCATATTACCGAGGCCTAATTTTTGGCTGAACACTCTTAAGTTACCTGTGCACAGGTTGGCATCTTTTATCATTAGTAAACTCCCTATTGGTCATACAACTTGACTTACAAAATCCTAGTTGTATAATAGATTACAGCAAATGGAAGTTGAAAAATAGTAAGATGCCTTAAACCTGAAGGAGAAGAAATACCTCTAAATTAATAATCATAATTGTGTTAGGATACAAACTTGAGTAACATTTGATATCCTTGGGAATTATGGAAATCAAACCACACTTTCCAGCCTTGGTCAACATCAGTTCTGACTATGAATGGCCTAATCTGGCTGCCGAATTCTAGATCAAAATGCTGGCAAATGTTTTCTTTTAAAATGAGTTATAATTGTTTTAGACTAATGGCTAAATTGTGTGCTTCTGCCTGCTACTTGCTTACTGTTATTCCTCTCTAAAGCTGTATTTTAGAATTTTTAACTGTCTTCACAGGTGGCCAGTTTCTTTGGCCCATCTTTGCATTCAGTTGGTCACCTTGCTTTAAGAAGTTTGGAGGTTTTATGTAATTTTATATCTTAAAGACTTTGTCTTTCTTTTTTAACACAGTGTGACATTGTAGTTGCATACATATTTAAGTTCCAAATCATGCAAAACTAGATTGGTAATGAATTTAATTGTTTCAGTACCTTTGGAGTAAGAGGGCTTAGGGAAAATGTTTACCTAATGGTATATGACTATGTTCCGTATGTTCCTTTATTCTTTGGAAATTCTAGGTAGTGGGTCTTTGTTTAATTTTGATTTATTTTATTGTGTTGTTTAGGGAGGTATGTTGGTTAGTTTGTGTGTTAGTTATTAACTGCTGCATAACATATAGCCCCAGATTTTAACAATTTAATATAATAAGCATTTGTTATTATGTAGAGTTTCTGGAAGTCAGGAATTATCCATGAGGGCCTTTTCCAGGTGATTCTGGTTCAAAATCTCCCAGATTAGTTGTAGCTACTTGAAGGCTTTACTGCTACTGTGAGTCCCACATCTAGTCTGACTCAGTCCACTAATATTGGCAAAAAAGACCTCAATTTCTCCTTGGCTGCTGTCAGGAGACCACAGCTCATTACCATGTGGCCCTCTTTTGGACAGCTTGTCCCATGACATCAGCTAACTTTCCCTGGAGTGAGTTATGCAAAAGGGAGAGCAAAGAGGGAGCCACAGTATGTCTGTACTCTGGCACGTCCACTTTATTCTCCTTAGGATACCAGGTACTAGATATATCCTACTCTCAAAAGGAAGACAGGCTCCATCTTATGGGGTGTCACAGAACTCATGGCCATATTTTAAGCCATCATAGTTTAAAATTTAAAGAAACTGGGAAAGAACAAGGACAAATGATTAACTAATGGATGTACTTGTTGTTATGCTTTCCTTTTCCTTCTGCCTTTACCTCCCTGGTCTCCCACTCTTTTCAGCATCAATTATCATAGCTTTGACATCTCAGTAGAGACCAACTGATCTCATCATTGCCCCCCACCTTTTTCAGATCTCCAATTCTCACAAAAGGAATGTTAACCTGATTTAAATACAGTGGTACCTCGGTTCACGAGCTTAATTCGTTATACAATTATGGTTACTAACCAAATTGGACGAGAACTAAATCAAATTTAATGGTTAGGTTCATGACCTTATGGGGAAATCTGATTCGATTCTCATCCAATTCAGTTTGTAACCAGAATCATGGAAAGAATTAAATTTGTGAACTGAGGTACCACTGTACTAAAGAGATTCCATACTAACTAAACAAGAGGTTAGGTAGGATGCCTTTAGTTGAAATCCTATCAACAGATACAAAAGTGTAACTGTTATTGTATGGTTACTGAAGAAATATGTCATGTCACAAAAAGGTTCTCATGTCTAAAAGTTTGAAAACCAGATTGCCTGATATTCATAGAATTTGAAAAGGAAACCTTAGGATACACTGTGATATGTCCATAGCCATGTTTTTGGAGCTGAAACACACCCCTGCACTGTGCTCTGGGCTTGAAATAGTTCTAATCTTTTTCATCATTTGCCTACCACTGGGTACATGGATAGCCCTCTCTACATGAGTGACAGCTGCTGTATGCATGACAGTTTCCACCTCAAGAAACAGATGTCAGTGTTTTGATTGACTCAAGATTCTTTAAAATAGGAGATGTTTAAAATCTAGGACATTGTTGTTCAAACATATAATATTTCAGTTGCAAAATGCAATTGATTCCCTACACTTCCTTACATTGAATTACTAGACTATTCTGTTGCTGATGAGCAATATATGTTAGCTGATCACAAAGGCAAGGGTTTCCCTAAAAATGGTTATGTCAGTCCACCTAGACAAGCCCTGACAGATGTGCAATGGTTACAGCAAACTTTTACCATTATTAAGAATGATTTGAGAGAAATGTGCCACTTCCTTGGATTCAAAGTGAAGACCTATACTGGTTTCATGGCTTTATATTCCTGTCCTGAGTCTATACTCTTCTTAGTAAATTCATGCATTTTGGGTTCACTATTCACTGAGTGATTGAATGAATGAATGAATGAGTGAATCTGAACAATGTGGTGATTCTTAACAATGTAGAAGTAACGGAAATAAGCTCTCAGTTTTATTTTCCAATATTATCTTTTACCCCCATATTAGAATTGCTCTCCTTACCCCAACAAAAATTTCTTTGAAAATATTTAAACACTTTCATATCGTACAGTATTTTAATTGCACAGAATACATAATTCAGATCACCAACATAACTGTTATGTCCAGTGATCCACAAAATGTTAGTTAGGAACCTGAAAGTACCGCGGAAATTACAGAGTGTATATACCCTATCAAAGTCTACTGCACACCCAAATAAAGAGTTCTGCACATTCTGATATAAAATATTTTACTCTTGAGGGTGTCAAGATTTTAGTTTTTACTCAGCACAGAATCTTTTTACATTGATAGAACTCGACAAGGAATATATTTGGGGATCAAATAGTCTGACCTTACTATCTGCTAACCCTAGATCATATTTTTTACTATTGCTCATAAAAACATTAATTGATTTCCTGAGGAAGTCATGTTATGCATTATTCTTTCTTCTGGCCTTATTGCTATTCATCAGAACAATCTCACTAACTTTTATGACTCTGATGCAAAATGTGGACATGTTTAATACTGGAAAACAGCAACAAAATATGGAATACATTATACCCACTGACCTGGGAATGCAGAAAGCTATGGCAGTCAAACTTTCTCTATAAATAAAACATCTTTACCTTATTTGATGTTATCTTGGAATATTATACATCTGGAAGATAATTTTTTAAAATAATGTTTGAAGTTGGGAGAAGAGTTTTCTATCTTAAATTAGAAATCCAGGGACAAGACTTAATAATTGAAAAAATCAAATGAAAACAAGAGACCTTTAAAATCATGTTACATTAAGGAAATGAGATAGAATTTCATAAGGCTTCTAACAGCCACTCCTTCCTTTAACAACTGTATATTGTGTTGCTCAGAGACAGATTTATCAGGGAAATAATATCACTGGGGCTCCTCACTACACCAGCCCCTTCTGAATCCTCTTAACCAACTGTGTCTTGTTTTACTTCCTTAAAGAGGGCCTCAAAAATTGTATAAGCTAAAGTTATAAAGGATTCATTAAACCTGGGTTTAGATGTAATTATGGAATATGACCAACATTATGCTGACATTTGTGTATACTTTTATTTGACATGGTGATTTTGAACTACTTTAACAATAGCATTAGTACAATGTATAGTTGAATTTTTAGTGAAACGAAAGTCCCAGCTTCACTTTCAGATTTACAGAGGAAAGGAGTCAGGGATGACAAATGGTGGTGCTTTGCCTTCCACTCAAAGATTTAACTAATTATAATAGTGAGTTAAAAACTTAAATAAATGCATTGGGCATAGAACCCTTTTTCCAGGAATATGTAGTGCTCAGAAATAGAAACTAAGCAGATGGTTAATATTTAATAACAAAAGAAAAATTTTATCATTTCTATTGCTTAAGAATATTTTT